AACTTTCAATGTTTTGTGGATTTAATTATTTGCAGATTCGATTTGAAGGATCTCTCCAGGAATCTCTAAGAGTCTGTGGTCACCTTCCTCCAAACGTTGGTAATTGAGTCATGCTGGAAAACCAAGTAATTCCTATAGAGAACATTTCTCCAGGTACCTCTGGGTCAGGCATGGGCAAACTGGCCTTCCAGGTGTTTTGGATTTCAACTCCCACAATTCCTAACAGACTACCGGCTGTTAGGAATTTTGGGAGTTGAAGTTCAAAACACTTGGAGGGCCAAAGTTTGCCCATGCCTGCTCTAGGTCCTCAAGTGTGATTATATGGCCAACTTGAAGAAAGTTGACCATTGAGTCAAGGTGTTTTGCACCCTCTTATACCCTTTATATCTTCTTACCAGAATAGTGGAGGCCCCACATTCCCCTCAAGGTGCAATGCCCAATGGTGCTTTTCTCCATTCAGCAAATTATGATTCCAAGAGGTGGTTTTCGGACATGTTCATCAGTCTTTATTAATGATGCAACAGTAGGAAGGGCAAAAGCGTTGGGCCGAATTCAAGGTGATTCGATAGACATTAGTATCTCTTGAAATTCATTGGCCATCAATTGGTCCATCTTGTGGCTTGCCTACTATGTGGTCTCAGCAAACTATTGGGAAAAGTATTCATATCACTTCCTTACTTTACTTTTACTTTTACTGTCACTTCCACGAGTCCTCTCTCAATACCTGACCCTCTTTTCTCTGGTTTTCCTCTCCAAATGTATGGTGCTGACTTTCAATAAACTTTTACATCTTGGTTTCACCTGCTTGTCTCGTCTACTATTTGTCTCTTTGCAACAAAAGCAGAAGACGGCATCTTTCTTTCTTTCTTTCTTTCTTTCTTTCTTTCTTTCTTTCTTTCTTTCTTCCCTTCTTTCATTACTCAGCCTTTCTTTTGAGGCACACGCCCTTCTGTCTGCATTTTTCTGGCGTTCCCACTCCCATTGCCTCCTTTGCGGTTGGCCAAGGGGAGGCCGGGTTTGCACCAACAGCACTCTAATAATATTTGTCTCTTTGCTTGAAGAGTTTAGTGATTGCCCCTCGGTCTGCCAGGCCCCACAAGTTGATGTAGGAAGGATGAAAGCTTCAAAAACATTAAGTACACAAAAGAAAACATTTGAAAACAACCTCTTTAAAACAGATTAGAAACCACAAGCAATTAACTAGAGCAGCCAGCCCCGGTTCTAAGGACTGAAGGGCAAGTGAAATATTTCCTAGTTCCAACAGACCTCACTACCTCTGAGGATGCTTGCCATAGATGCAGGCGAAACGTCAGGAGAGAATGCCTCTAGAACATGGCCATATAGCCTGAAAAAACCTACAACAACCAAGTGAAATATTGCTTTAATGGGTCAAATGGTTCAACCATGTGGGGAGAAGGTTTGGTAGCAGGGTGTCACTGCTGAAAAGATTGTGACTCACCATCCTATTCTGTAGGGGGGTTAATGGGGTGCGCAATACCGAGGGTTTAAGGTTTTGGATAGACTTATATTGGGGGAGAAACAGTGTGGTGTAGTTTGGGCGATGAGCTACAGCTCTGGAAAAGGTGGTTTGAATTGCTCAATTACGGAAACCCGTTGGATGACGTTGGGCAACTCACACTCTCTCAGCCTCAGAGGAAAGCCAAGGTAACCCCAAAAAATCTTACCAAAATAATCCATTTGATTGGTTCAGCTTAGGGTTGCCATAAGTCAGAAACTACCTGAAGGTACAACAAAACTGTAGGGATATTTGGCATCTATTCTAGAATACACACACACACACACACACAAATACATATTATAAATATCAATAGGACAACGTGTTGCATCCCTGGATAGAGTCAGGAAGTTTTCTTTAGAGTGTTTCGTACATAGTTTATTATTATTATTATTATTATTATTATTATTATTATTATTAGCTGTCCCCTGCCATGCGTTGCTGTGGCCCAGTATGTGTATATGTGTGTGTATATATTTGTGTATATGTGTATTTATGTGGTTATGTGCATGCATTGTAATGTATTTAGGGTTTTTTTTTGCTTTTTAAGTATCTTCTGCTGTGTTTTTCAGTGTTTTTGTGAGTGATGGCCACTCGTTGGCTTGAGAGGTGTCTTGTGTCCAAATTCGATGTCAATTCGCCCAGTGGTTTTTGAGTTATGTTAATCCCACAAACGAACATTACATTTTTTATTTATATAGATACTAGCCATCTCCTGCCATGCGTTGCTGTGGCCCAGTCTGTGTATATGTGTTTTGTGTGCGTGTGCGTGTGTGTGTTTGCATATATAGACGTGGTTTTGTGCATGCATTGTAATGTATTTTTTAATTTTTTGGCTTTTTAAGCCCCTTCTGCTGTGCTTTTCCATGTTTTTATGAGTGATGGCCGCTTGTTGGCCTGATACGTGTCTTGTGTCCAAATTCGGTGTCCATTTGCCCAGTGGTTTTTGAGTTATGTTAATCCCACAAATGAACATTACATTTTTATTTATATAGATGATGATGATGATGATGATGATGATGATGATGATGATGATGATGATGATGATGATTGGACGGTGTAGAATTACTAGTGTTAGTTGGTGGCTTTATATATCATTGGTTTATGGTTTAGTTTGTCTGCTATGGAAATAAAAAAGAATTGGGGGAAAAAGAATATTTGGTATCTGTAGCAGAGGACAGTGCAGCATAGCTAGTGCTGTATGGTAGGAAATGAGAAATAGAATACCCAGGGTGCTCTGGTTAAGGTTCAAAACTGTTGCAGGTAATACATCTCATTTTTAAAATGTGAAATCTCAGGCATGGGCAAACTTTGGCCCTCCCAAGTGTTATGGACTTCACCTGGAGGTGTGTTGCAGGCCAAAACACCTGGAGGGCCAAATTTTGCCCATGCCTGGCTACCCCTCTGGATTTATTTGTGCCCCTCGATTCAAACTGTAATTCCCAATTTCTGTTGTTTAGCAATTTGGATTTATCCTTTATTGTATGTGTTTCCTGTAATACATGATGTACTTGGTTTTCATTTAACATTTTGGATAGTTTGTGTCTCTTGACTGGCATTGAAAGACCATTTGTATTTACTGACATAATATTCAGTTCACCCATCATGATTGGTTTGTTTTTTTAAAATTTATTATTTATTATTTATTTATTTACAGCTTTTATATTCTGCTCTTTTCACCCTGCAGGGGACTCAGGGCGGATTACAGTGTACACACACACACACACACACATATATATGTGTGTGTGTGTGTGTGTGTGTGTGTCATGTTCAGGAGCAACCGCTCCTGTTGTGAGAGAATTGGCCGTCTGCAAGGACGTTGCCCAGGGGACGCCTGGATGATTTTTGATGTTTTATCATCCTTGTGGGAGGCTTCTCTCATGTCCCCGCATGAGGAGCTGGAGCTAATAGAGGGAGCTCATCCGCCTCTCCCTGGATTCAAACCTGTGACCTGTCGGTCTTCAGTCCTGCCAGCACAGTGCTTTAACCCATTGTGCCACCGGGGGCTCCTACACATATATGGCAAACATTCAATGCCAATTTTGACATACAACATATACAGACATAGACAGAGGCTATTTAACTTTTCTGACCGCCAGGGGAGCTGTCGCTTTCATCGTCCATCTGCGACACTGATGAAGTACTTCCGCATTCCCCGCATGCTTTTTGTTGGAGTGCTTGCTGGAGTCTTTTTTTATGGCCTCATAAATTAGTTAATTTAGCCTCCCCACACTTTAAGGTGGTACCTAATTTTCCTACTTGACAGATGCAACTGTCTTTCGGGTTGCAAAGGTCGACAACAGGCTACGCAATTGGTTGGAAACCCACTCCAACCTGGGCTGGCTTTGAACCCATGACCTTTTGGTCAGAGTGATCTTAATGCAGCTGACACTCAGCCAGCTGCACCACAATCCTGATTTCATGTAAATGTTCAGAGTTGTATTTTAATTTGTATTCGAAAAGGAACCTAAACATTTCTACTTGAAGAATTGTTAATAAAGACATTCAAAAGGAAACTATATATACCAGTGTTTCTCAACCTGGGGATCGGGACCCCTGAGGGGGTCACGAGGGGGTGTCAGAGGGGTCGCCAAAGACCATAAGAAAACACAGTATTTTCTGATAGTCATGGGGATTCCATGTGGGAAGTTTGAGCCAATTCTGTCGTTGGTGGAGTTCAGAATGTTCTTTGATTGTAATGAACTATAAATCCCAGCAACTACAACTCCCAAATGTCAAGATCTATTTTCCCCAGACTCCACCAGTGTTCACATTTGGGCATATTGAGTATTCGTGCCAAGTTTGGTCCAGATCCACCATTGCATGAGTCCACAGTGCTCTCTGGATATAGGTGAACTACAACTCCCAAACTCAAGGTCAATGCCCATCAAACCCTTCCAGTGTTTTCCATTGGTCATGGGAGCCAAGTTTGGTTCAAATCCATCGCTGGTGGAGTTCAGAATGCTCTTTGATTATAAGTGAACTATAAATCCCAGCAACTACAACTCCCAAATTACAAAATCAATCCTCCCCCAACCCCACTAGCATTCACATTTGGGTGTATTGGGTATTTGTGCCCAGTTTGGTCCAGTGAATGAAAATACACCCTGCATATCAGATATTTTCATTATGATTTATCACAGTAGTAAAATGACTGTTATGAAGTAGCAACGAAAACAATATTATGGTTGGGGGTCACCACAACATGAGGGACTGTATTAAGGGGTCACCGCATTAGGAAGGTTGAGAACCACTGATATATACATTAAAACATCTTTCTATAAAATGCACAGATTAGAATACAATCAGCAGATATTGCGAATATATAATTCCTAGATTAAAGCGGACTGGGTCAGCCTGCTGGAAGAGATACGTCTTCAGTGGTATGTGACCTTGTTGTGACTGTTGTCCCGGCACTTCTCCTTGCACTCACACTCCTTGCACTCACATGTGCCTGACCCTTGGATCTCTCTTCCCTTTGCAGGACCTCCTTGCAGTCCCCCTCGTCCTACGGCTCCAGCTCCCCTCCGCTGGGCAAGATGAACAACGTGAACAAGTTGCCCTCGGTCAGCCAACTCATGAACCCGCAGCAGCGCAATGCCCTGACGCCCACCTCCCTCCCGGACAGCATGGGAGCCAACAGTAAGGGACTGCTGCTTCATTGTGTTGTGTTTGCTTTATTTATTGTATTTCTATCCTTCCTTGCTCCCAATATAGAAGCTCAAGGTGGGTAACAGACTTCAAATTCAGCATCCACAGTTACAGTGGGTTGAAGCCACCTTAATTACGGTGGCTTAAAGATCTGCCTACAGGGTCCTGGGACTTGTAATTTGCAATTTGGGGAACCAGGGTTAAGTCAAATGTAGCCAGTGAGGCATAGTAGTTTGAGTGCTGGTCTATAGGTGCATTACCACTGTAGAATTAATTCAGCTTGACACCACTTTAGCTTCTTCCTAACGATCAGGTGGAATTCTCCTTTTCTGAAGTTTGAACCCATTGCTCCATTGTGTCCCAGTCTCTGGAGCAGAAGAAAACAAGCTTGCCCTCCCTCTTCCTTAATATTACCTCCTTTCACATATTGAAACAGGACCCTCGTGGCCCTTCTCATCTCTAAGCTAAACCTACCAAATTCCCTAACTTGCTCCTCAGAGGAATTCATAGTTTCCAGGCCTTTGACCAATTGGTCACCCTTCTCTGTTCCATCTTGTCCATCTCCTCCTTCAATTACTTTGCCCAGAACTGGACATAGGGTTATTATTCCAGGTGAGAAAGTCTGGCCAAAGCAGAGGAGAGTAGGACTCGCTTGATCTGGACCAGAGGTGTCAAACTTGTGGCTCTCCACATACTTGGGCCTCCAGGTCCCAGAAGCCCTAACCAGCTTGTCCAGTTGCCAGGAATTCTGAGAGTTGAAATCAAAAACAAACTTGGAGCGTCACAAATTTAACACTAGCGATTTAGACACACTACTCATAGAATCATAGAATCAAAGAGTTGGAAGAGACCTCATGGGCCATCCAGTCCAACCCCATTCTGCCAAGAAACAGGAATATTGCATTCAAATCACCCCTGACAGATGGCCATCCAGCCTCTGCTTAAAAGCTTTCAAAGAAGGAGCCTCCACCACACTCTGGGGCAGAGAGTTCCACTGCTGAACGGCTCTCACACTCCTATTCTATGCTATTAATATAGCATAGAATTGCATTCATGTTCAGATCATGGTCTACTAAGGCTCCTAGATCCCTTCCCCATAGTCTGTTTTCCAACCAGGTGTCACCCAGACTATCTCTATGCAATGGATTTTTGGATGGCTTTGCCCAGAACAGGACAGGTGAGGTCTGGCCAAAGCAGAAGAGAGGGGGACTGTGACTATTGTGGAAAGGCAGGCAAACAGGACCTACCTGTCTGAACGCATCTCCTCCTATGAACCAGTTAGGACATTAAGATCGTCTGGGGAGGCCCTGCTCTTGATCCCGCCGGCTTCACAAGCTTCTCAGTGGTGGCCCCTCGGCTGTGGAATGCCCTTCCCGCAGATATTAGATCGACCCCCTCCTTGCTGGCTTTCCGGAGGAAAGTAAAGACCTGGCTGTTTGAATAGGCATTCGACTAAGCAGTGTGATTGATTGACTGATTATCGGAACACGGAATAATGGATAACGGGTTTGGATTCTGATTTCATTGATGAGACCTGATGGATTTGTTACATTGATGTACTGATGTATTGATGCTGATGTTTAATGATTTGTGATGGTATTGCTTTTAAATGCCTAATGATTTTGTATTGTGTATATCTAAACTGTTGTAAACCGCTCTGAGTCACCTAAGGGCTGAGAAGAGCGGTATACAAACAAAGTAAATACAATAAATAAATAAATAAATAAATAAATAAATAAATAAATAAAATGAGTTGGGTTTTGCTCCTATTTCTGGATTTCTGACTAGGGGTGTTTCCATGCCAGTGTGTGACCCTGTTTCTTCCTCCTCCTCCTCCCTTGCAGTTCCCATGATGGGGCACATGGCCATGGCCGGGGACATGAATGGGCTGAGCCCCACGCAGGCGCTGCCCCCTCCGCTCTCCATGCCCTCGACTTCCCACTGCACCCCGCCGCCTCCCTACCCCACAGACTGCAGTATTGTCAGGTGAGTCCCAGCGTTTGCCCGTTGCCCAGAATGCCCTCCCGCCCCTGCCTTGTGCCGCTTGGGTGGAGGTTGCCTCTTTCTCTGCTCTCTTCACTCCCTGAGTTCTTCATGACGCTGTTTGTCGGACCAGCTGAGCGACTTCCGACTGGCTTTGCAAGTTGCCGCTGCCTCCCTTTCCCGTTAGCCATCGTTTTCACCTTCTGAGAGATAAACTGGGATCAGATAGAAGACATGGGGTTGGGAAATCCCAAGACGCCAATGAAGGAGTTGAGGAAACGAGGCCCATGAACCACATTCAAACCCGAGACCTGGCTTCCCCTTTCTCACCCCCAGTTACACAACGTAAAGCTGTTTTTGTTCCTGGGTTATAAATGCCATTTCCTAATTGGCTCTATCATAAACACATGAGAAAAGTGTATTAAACTGCAAAAACTTCATTCTTGCAGGAGGGACTCCTGCAACACATTTTGCTCTAGTTTTCAATAAATATCTCATTGAGCCTCAACCAATTTAACATAGTTTGTGGCAGCTACAAAAACCAAGTTTCTGGATCAGAACAACTACTTTCAAAGTAAGGACCACACAATTAAACAGGAAATAACACTTTCAACACCAAGAACAGAATTTTGTCTATATTTTGTTACATAGTGTAATCTGTAACATTACAAGCAGTGTGATCTAGACATTCCCCAAAAAGGGGAATGTCTTTCTTTCATCATTTTCTTTTGTTTGTATGGTTTCCTAAGTAGATATTGTTGCTAGGAATTTCTAGGTCCTATAAGAAATTCCATTTCACTGATGGAAGTTCACCATAAAATCACATTAGAAGACCTGTAATTTCCTAGAGAGATGTTCTAGGTATCTCTAGGTTCTCCAACATGAAATAAGTTCACCATAGACTCATACTAGAAGACCCATAGTTTCTTCAAGAGGCATTTTTTAGGTTCTCCAGCATGAAAGTTCACCATAAATTCATACTGGAAGACCTGTAGTTTCCTTGAGAGGCATTCTTTAGGTTCTCCAGCATGAAAGTTCACCATAAACTCATACTAGAAGACCCGTAGTTTCCTCGAGAGGTATTCTTTAGGTTCTCCATCATGAAAGTTCACCATTGACTTATACTAGAAGACCTATAGTTTTCTCGAGAGGCGTTCCTAGGTTCTCCATCATGAAAGTTCACCATTGACTTATACTAGAAAACCTATAGTTTCCTCGAGAGGCGTTCCTAGGTTCTCCATCATGAAAGTTCACCATAGACTCGTACTAGAAGACCTATAGTTTTCTCGAGAGGTGTTACTAGGTTCTCCATTATGAAAGTTCACCATAGACTCATACTCATACTAGAAGACCTATAATTTTCTCAAGAGTCATTCCTAGGTTCTCCATCATGAAAGTTCACCATTGACTTATACTAGAAAACCTGTAGTTTCCTCGAGAGAGAGGCTCTCTCTAGGAATCTCTAGGTTCTTCAGCATGACTTGAGGGTCACCTTCTGGCAGAGGTTGACCATAGTGCTGTATTTAATAATGTATACATGCATTATTAAAATCCTCATTATTATTAACTAAAGATTCCTAGAGAGAATCTATTGACCAAATCCGCAGAACTCAAATCCACAAAGGTGAAGGATTGACTACTTGTACTTTTCAGATTCAGGTCAGGGAGCTTGTACCTGGTTTGGTGAAGCACCTTTTGGCCGAAATCCAGTGCACTTTGTAAACAAGTCCTTTCCATAACGCTCCCTTTCATTGTGCATGCACACACTTTACTCCAGGTCCAACTCCACACCTTGAAAGCATGCTTCATGACCCCATTGATTTCAAGTAATGGAGTCTGTTGGATGCTCCATGGATCTGGAAGACCTTGGAGCTCTGTACCTGTTCCTCCTTTCCACTTGCACTGCAAAACGCATCTGTTCCAGGGGTTATTTTAACTAGTGGTTATTCTTCTCGGGCCGCCATAGGACACTGTGATGTTTGCACTTTTCTTGACACTTCGGTGTTTGTTTGTTTATTTATTTATCTACGACATTTCTACCCTTCCTTTCTCACTCCAGAGGGGACTCAAGTATTGTCACAATGCACGAAGGGGTTTTCGTAGCCTTGCTTTGAGCTGAGGGAAAACAATGTACAAATGTGGGAAAGAAGCAAAGGACAACTCACATCCTAAACAAGTGCTTGTTTTTGTAACATAGAGTTATGATCTAAATTACTTCAAGGGGGTATAAATACCTGGAAAATTCACTCAGGTTGAATTGCGTTGAAAGTAAATGATGACACTGTGATTAGAAATTCTCATTCATCATATTGGCGGGTCAGAAATGGTTTCCTAGGAAGGCAGTGCTCCCCTCCCCTCATGCATTCAAGGCTTTTGGGTCGCTTGCCGATTGTGGGCTGTTCCAAATCTGGGTGATTTCCTGATCTCAATTTCTTTCTTCTTCTCTCCCTCCGCTTTCCTCTCTCTTTCTCTCTCTCTCTCTCTCTCTCTTCCTATCCTCCTCCTCCTGCAGTTTCTTAGCAAGGCTGGGCTGTTCTTCCTGCGTGGATTATTTCACGGCGCAAGGGCTGACCACCATCTATCAGATTGAACACTACTCCATGGATGTAAGTAACACTCCTCGGCCTTTCGCTTCCTGGGGGACGCCCGCCTCGTTGAAGGAGTCTGAAGGGTGGCAAAGTTAGGGTCCTGTTTAGCTGCAGGCTGCAGAGTAGACCACAGTTGTGCTAAAGTTGGAAAACTTACTGGGTTTTGGACTTCTCTTTCCAGAATCCCGTGGCTCCTTTAAAACTTGGTGGCCCCTTCACCCTTGCAAAGTGCCCAGGGAAGGGGATTCTCATAGGAGAAACCTCTGTGGGACATCAATGCTGAATCCCTCCCCTCCTTGCTTCTTTGGGATGAAATTCTGCCCTTCGTCTCCTCCTCTTCTTCACCCCAAGTGGCATCCCTTGGTACATTCCAGATTGAGCTTATCTATTCAACCATAAGACAATTATGCTGGGGAAAGTGGAAGGCAAAAGGAAGAGGGGCTGACCAAGGGCAAGATGGATGGATGGCATCCTTGAACTGACCTTGGACTGACCTTGAAGGAGCTGGGGGTGGTGACGGCCGACAGGGAGCTCTGGCGTGGGCTGGTCCATGGGGTCACGAAGAGTCGGAGACGACTGAATGAATGAACAACAACAACATTCAACCAATTCTGGCTCAATCCAGGGGTGAATTTTCACCCAACTGAGCCCTGAAATTCAGCCATTGGTCCAGTCTGCAGGTTTCTCTTCTGAGTTTTTGGAAGTCCTTGAAATTGTTGTGCAAAGAGCAGCCTAGAACGGAAAGGGTTGTCCTTAGGTCTTCAGTGGTGCTTCCCATCTGCCTTCCCACTTCTGTTGTCTGGATGCTTTGCTCTGTGGGGCTGTTGCTTGGGGCTGAGCCTGGGAACCCTACGATCCTATGGGGCTGAGGATCTCTGTGCTTTCTTTCTGATTCTGGCCATGTTCCTTTCCCTTTGGAAGCAAGTCAGTCCCGTATGAGACCAAACGCTTTAGCCCCAAGAGAAGGGAAGCTATTCAGATGTGTAGACTACTCCCAGCTCCATATAAACAAAGCCAGATGCAGCCCTTTGAGGGTTACTTTGGCCACGGTTTCATTTCACTGACTTCCTCCCCGTTTCCTTGCATTCCAGGATCTGGTGAGCCTGAAAATCCCGGAGCAGTTCCGCCATGCCATTTGGAAAGGCCTCATGGACCACCGGCAGCTCCACGACTTCTCCCCTGCAACGCCCCACCTCCTGCGCACCCCCAGCGGCGCCTCCACTGTCAGCGTGGGCTCCTCCGAAACCCGCGGAGAGCGGGTCATCGACGCCGTGCGCTTCACGCTCCGCCAGACCATCTCCTTCCCGCCCCGCGACGAGTGGAACGACTTCAACTTCGACCTGGATGCCCGCCGGAACAAGCAGCAGCAGCGCATCAAGGAGGAAGGGGAGTGAGGCTCCCGCGACGCTCATGGCATCCCTCGCAAGCGCATGAGTCTATGGACCTCTTGCTTGTTTCGCAAGGTGCGAGGGGCATGAAAAAGGAAGGGAGACTCCCTCAAGTGCTTCAGTTCTAGCTGTACCTGCCATTCTGCTCTCATGCTTTGGCCCAAAGGGCACCGTTTTGTATTTTTTGATAAGCCATAGCTCTTTTTTTCTTCTTTGTTTGAGAGGGAGCATTGTTGTCCTTTTATATGGCTTTAGTTCCTTCTGGAAGTGATGGATGTCTGTAGAACTGTGGCTTTCCATTGATATGGCACTTAATCTCCATGCTTCTTCCAAAGCCAACATGTGTCCATGTTATGCGAGTTGCCCAGTTGGTGCAAGGTAATGGGTCTCTGTCTTTCCATACCCAAGATCAAGTCAATTGTCTCTTGCAGGCTTTTGGGTGGATTTTCTCCTGAGTATACATATGCCTGGGCTGTAACGTGTTAAAGACCTGGAGCAGGCTGTGAACCGTGTTGTGAGGTGTGACAGTTGCAAACTGGAATGCTGAGCACATAGATCTCAGTCTAATTGCATGGTCATGTGCTGTGATTCATGTTCCTCTCCTGAAACTTTTCCATTGCAAGGAGAGAGGTGCGCCTTATGGGTACATAAATGTGTGCATGGCCAATATGCTCAATTCTCTCCATCAGTAAGCATTGTTTTCTGGCACAGCCTGATCCCCACAGCTATCCTTCTCTGGTATCATCCTCATGGTTGGCATGAGAGTTACAGAAGGTTGGCATTGCTCCTGACATACCTTATACCCRCCTTGCTTTGCTGCAAGACCATTATATTTTTCTGTCCCTTTTAGTAGCATAGTGGAAATGGCCCTTCAGTCCTGGTGCAGCCATGGCAGAGATGTTGGGGAAATCCTTCCCTTGGGAMACCAAACCCCACCATAACGTGGGTCTGCTTAGCTTTGCCATAAGTGCATCCCAGGTAGGCTGAGCAATAGCGYAAGGAGCCACATTCTTGAAATGAAGCAGATCKAAACCAGATAGGATGCCTCTTTTCTCTCCCCTCCCGTGCTTCTTCTTCCCTGAATGATGCAGGCTGGAAACTGGCCATTTTCTGCTYCTTCCCAAAGGGTTCCAGCAGTTAACCTGAGATCCTGAGCACATGGATCTCAGTCTAATTGCATGGRCATGTGCTGTAATTCATGTGCCTCTCCTGAAACTTTTCCATTGCAAGGAGAGAGGTGTGCCTTATGGGTACATAAATGTGTGCATGGCCAATATGCTCAATTCTCCCCATCAGTAAGCATTGTTTTCTGGCACGGCCTGACCCCCACAGCCATCCTTCTCCATTATCATCCTCATAGCTGGCATGAGACTTACAGATTGTTGGCATTGCTCCTGACGTGCCTTACACCTCCCTTGCTTTGCTGCAAGACCATTATATTTTTCTGTCCCTTTTAGTAGCATAGTGGAAATGGCCCTTCAGTCCTGGTGCAGCCATGGCAGAGATGTTGGGGAAACACTTCCCTTGGGAGACCAAACCCCACCACAACATGGGTCTGTTTAGCTTTGACCTAAGTGCATCCCGGGTAGACCGCGCAATAGCAGAAGGAGCCACATTCTTGAAATGAAGCAGATCCAAACCAGATCGGATGCCACTTTTCTCTCCCCTCCCATGCTTCTCCTTCCCTGAATGATGCAGGCTGGAAACTGGCCATTTTCTGCTCCTTCCCAAAGGGTTCCAGCAGTTAACTTTTGCAACATGGAAGGGTGCAGAGGGACCTTTTGTGCCTCTAATGTTGTGGGGTTACAGTCCCCATCAAAGTGTGATGCAGGATGGTGGGAGTCGCAGTGCCAGAACATCAATCAAAAATAGTTTATTGTACGGGCCCAAGGCCATGACAAAAAGCACCACACGCGCACAGTAGTACCCTCGGAGTACAGGCACCAAAGATGCTAAACAGAAACCATAATATGCTCCCACAACAAAAACAATGGAAGTTAATAATAGTTAAAATACATTTTAGGAGAGGATCCAGTTAACCCATAGCGTCTCCTTGGCAGTTGATAGCAATTTTATCTAACTCTGTCTTTCTGATCTTTTTTGCAAAGCGAGCAAAAAGGACTACTTTATAAGTTACATACTCATTTGTGTCACTCAGCAGAAACTGCATGGTTTCTGCAATAGAGTTTCCTTTATGTCAACAAGGGTTTCAGGTGTCTTTCCCTTGGGTCACTATACAGTGGGCAGACAAACAGATAATGCACAATGTCTTCTACCTGACATTGACTACAAATACATAGTCTGTTTTCCCAGGGAACATTTTGGTAGCGACCATCTAACACTGCGATTGGCATCACTTGAAATCGCAGCTCGGTGAAGGCAGTCCTCAAGGAAGGAGGCTTGACTGGCTCTGAAATGTTCAGTTTTCAAAAAGGGGAACCATGGGGGAAAATCTGAGTTCCTGATTGATTGCAGGGTCCTACTTGGGTCAATTTCATGGCCAGAATCACTGGGTTGTTGTAGGTTTTTTCGGGCTATATGGCCATGGTCTAGAGGCATTCTCTCCTGACGTTTCACCTGCATCTATGGCAAGCATCCTCAGAGGTAATGAGGTTTGTTGGAACTAGGAAAAAGGGTTTATATATCTGTGGAATCTGTATGGCCATGTTCCAGACCTTACAACCTCTGAGGATGCCTGCCACAGATGCAGGCGAAACGTCAGGAGAGAATGCTTCCAGAACATGGCCATACTGCTCGAAAAGCCTACACTAACCCAGTGATTCCAGCCATGAAAGCCTTCGACAATACATGTCTTAGTTGTCTCTTAGTCATGTCCGGGGTGGAATTCAATTCAGGAAGATTGTAGTTGAGTAAGAGGTCCTTCAGGCCGGATCTCCATTGTCCATGGCCACTCATTTCCTCGTAGCACAACACTGGAAAACAGTCGCCCTGAAGGGTAACAATTCGTTTGAAGTTTCTTAATTGGGCACAATCTATTCTTGATTTTACTGACGGCCATCCAGATAACAATTCGTTTGAAGTTTCTTAATTGGGCACAATCTATTCTTGATTTTACTGACGGCCATCCAGATTCGCTGCACAGAAGCGCAGCCATTGAAAAATTGTGGCCCATGGAAATCTGCTTTTCTTCAACGGGCCTTGACTTGCCATTTCAATTCAAGTCAGTTGCCACTCTTCATTTGCAGATTTGCCTATGTATTTCACTTTCTAGGAAACTCTAGATCCTCCAATGCAACTTCTGGTGACCATAGATCCAAGCTACAGAATGTATACATTCTTAGACTATTTCCTAAAGTTTAAAAAAGTCTTTTTAATTCACTTTTGTAAAAACTTCCATGGGGGTTCTGTGCCTCTAAAAAACCTGGAGGACTACCTGTCCTGATTCACAGATTTCATCTCCATGAAAACAAGTGTAAACTTGCTTTGTGTGTACATGTTTATACTGTATTGTTGTTGCTTTTGCGTCACTTTCTCTCCACTCAAGAACCATGCAAGAGCCTCTCATCTAGATCTGCAACCACAATCCGTTTTCTTGACATATCCATATCTACCAATGCCTCCCATTCACCCCTGCCTTTCCTTGATGGACAAAAACCTTGCTAATTTTGGGCACCGATGCATTCAGTCCATGCAATTTGAGGCATTTCTTTTCCTTTTGTAAAAATTGTAAGTATAGAATAGAGTTCTACCTTACCATTTCCTGGCCAATTTTCTTTCTCTCCCTCTCTCTTTCTCTTTTTTTAATGGTTATTATTTCTCCTGGGGATAATGGGCCTTTCAGAACCACATTTTTTTTGCTCATGTTTTTATAATTTTTTTTAAAAAAACAAGAAGTTTGTTTTTGTGGGAAAGCTCTGATCTGTATTATAACTCGTGAATTGATCGTAATGTCCACAGTAAGGCGTTGCCTGAGTTTGTGAAACACAGCAGGCAGGAATTAGGGAACGCGCTCGAAACCTGAACAAAGGTGGGTTGACTTCAAGAGTCCAAGATTTCAAGGTTAATTCCTGCAGTTCAAATACCACATTGTTAGAAGTATTACAAACATTTTTGAAACGTACTCTGTTGTCATTGCCAGTGTAAATAAAACCACATTGCCAAAAGCCATTGTTGTGTGTTCCTTTTTGACCTACGCCATTTTTAATAGGCACTTTAAAAGCCTCGCTTCCCATTCAAGCAAATGTAGGAAAGACTCTGAATTTAGAGAGAGATTGACAAGGTGGAATGTGTCCAGAGGAGGGCGACTAAAATGATCAAGAGTCTGGAGAACAAGCCCTATGAGGAGCGGCTTAAGGAGCTGGGCATGTTTAGCCTGAAGAAGAGAAGGCTGAGAGGAGATATGATAGCCATGTATAAATATGTGAGAGGAAGCCACAGGGAGGAGGGAGCAAGCTTGTTTTCTGCTTCCCTGGAGACTAGGACACCATGAACAATGGCTTCAAACTACAAGAGAGGAGATTCCATCTGAACATGAGGAAGAACTTCCTGACTGTAAGAGCCGTTCAGCAGTGGAACTCTCTGCCCCGAAGTGTGGTGGAGGCTCCTTCTTTGGAAGCTTTTAAACAGAGGCTGGATGGCCATCTGTCAGGGGTGCTTTGAATGCAATATTCCTGCTTCTTGGCAGAATGGGGTTGGACTGGATGGCCCATGAGGTCTCTTCCAACTCTTTGATTCTATGACTCCCCCATGGGCCTCACAAGCACCCACAACAAGTGTGAATATTTCACCTTCCTCTATAGCAGGCATGGGCAAACTCTGGCCTTCCAGGTGTTCTGGACTACAACTCCCACAATTCCTAACAGCCAGAAGGCTGTTAGGAATTGTGGGAGTTGTAGTCCAAAACACCTGGAAGGCCAGAGCTTGCCCATGCCTGCTCTATAGTGTCTCTCAGAAAGGGAAGCAGCAGATGCATCAACACTTGCTACCTTTTTTGAGAAGGACCATAGAGAAAACAGTATTCAAGGATGTTATGGATTTCTTTCCTCATGAGGTTGGAGTTGGAGTTGGAGTTTTGAAAGTTTGTACATGAATGGTTTCATGCTTGACTACCTAAAAACCACACCACTTTGGAAGAGGAAAAATAGCAATTAGGAGGGTTCACAAATGTGGGGTCTGTGTGCCACATAAGGTACATCTACACTGTGGAATGAATGCAGTTTGGCACAACTTTAGGTTTTATGGCTCAATGTAATGGCATCTTGGGATTTGTAGTTTGGCAGAGCACCAGCACTTCGTAAAACTCCAGTCTTGTAAAGCTCCACCTTCCACGATTCCAGAGCACTGGGCCTTGGTACTTAAAGCAGTGTCAAAGTGCATTAATTCTCCAGTGTAGATGCATTTTGGGAAAAGGTTAGGGTATATAAAAGAAGATGGGTGGCATCCTGAATTGGGAGGCATATAGTTCTGCATGAGTTGAGACTTCTGTCCCTAAAATCCACCTGTTAAGCTGATGGAATTCTCCCCAACACAACCACACTGAGTGCATCTACACTACATAATGAATGCATCATAACTCCAATTGCAATGGTTCCAATTCCATGGAATCCTTGAATTTGTAGTTTGTTGAGGCCCCAGCACTCTTTGGCAGGGAAGCATACTCTGTTGTCATTGCCAGTGTAAATAAAATCACATTGCCAAAAGCCATTGTTGTGTGTTCCCTTTGACCTACGCCATTTTTAATAGGCACTTTAAAAGCCTCGCTTCTCATTCAAGCAAATATAGGAAAGACTCCCCTATGGGCCTCACAGGCACCCACAACAGTTTTCAGGATCCCATAGCATTGAACCATGGCAATTAAAGTGGGGTCAAACTACATTCATTCTGCAGTGGAGATGCACGCTATGAAAGTGGGGTGGATGCAGAACCTGTCCTGAAGATTCAGTATCAAGGACTTCTCATCCCAGGGGATTTGTGAGTAGATCTTGAGTGCAAAATCCTTTCCCTGTTCCATGCTCTCAAAGCAAGTGGTTGTCATGGGTTGTCCCCTGCTTCCCCTCCTCCAAATGGAAAACACTTATCAGTCACCCATAGTCATTGAGTATAGAATCGTTTCAGGGATATGAACGCACTGTTTGTGAAACAGCTTATAGTAACTATAAAAATAAATACAAACATTTGGGAGGCATCACTGCAGGAGAAGAAGGGAAGGTGTTGGCCACCTTGATGTGCTTTGTCTTGGTGCTTTGCTATTGCCTGAGGCAACTCTTGGCCCTTGACCATGTTGTATTTCCTAGGAAGCCTTGTTTCTCTGACCAATCAAAGGGAGATGTGGCACTCCCTTCTCCCATAAGAGTTGGCCGTTCCAGCTTCTCGAAGGTGGAAAACAACTAATCGAGCTTTCTTGTCCCAGAGCCAATCCGCCAACGCCCAGGTTCTTTGTGTGGCTCCGTGGACCCAATCCTCTTGGGAACCAACCAAGTCACTGGCAGCAATTCCACAAAGCAATTGGCATCCTTGAGAAACTCAAACTGGGTACGTTGTGGATAATCGCAAAAGGGCTTAGGAACCGAATGTAAGCCGTGAGCACACCGTCCTGGCACTCGGTGCTCCTGGAAAGCCTGCCTGCAGCTGGCAACGCCCAGGGAGAGGCATGTGCCCATGTCACGCATAAGACAAGCCTTTCAGCACCTGGTTTGCAGGAGCCAAAGTGATGCAAGCGCACCACCATCAACACTTCCTAAGCACAATCACCATGCCATCTTGGAAGGTGCCCATTTGCCCTTGACAAGCTCATCCATGGAGTGTTACATGTGAAAAGTCTGTGCCACTTTGAGTCCCTAAATGGGGAGAAAGGTGGGATAAAAATTAAGTAAATAAACAAAAATAATTTACAGTATTGGGGCTTCTGGCTATATATTTCTTTAAATAATATCCATTATTTACTCGAGTCTAATGCACACCTTGATTTTTCAAAACCCTGAAACCAAAAAAAAGGATTTGCTGGCGGATGTAATGTGCAGTAGCAAAAAAAATACGCTCTTTGTAATTTGATCCAAAAAGATGCACATTACTGTCACTTGCTTAGAATTGTTGCTCATTCATTCGGTCACTTCCGACTCTTTGTGATCTCCTGGACCAGCCCATGCCAGAGCTCCCTGTCAGCCGTCACCACCCCCAGCTCCTTCAAGGTCAAGCCAGTCACTGCAAGGATGCCATCCATCCATCTTGGTCGGCCCCTCTTCCTTTTTCCTTCCATTTTCCCCAGAATCATTCTCTTTTCCAAGCTTTCCTGTCTTCTCATGATATGGCCAAAGTATTTCATCTTGGCCTCTAATGTCCTTCCCTCCAATGAGCAGCCGGACTTTATTTCCTGAAGTATGGACTGGTTGGATCTTCTCGCAGTCCAAGACACTCTCAGAACTTTCCTCCAACACCACTTAGAATTACTCCATTATGAACAACTAGCTGTACCCACCACATGTTGCTATGGCCAACGTTCCATCCCTCTTTCTACTTCTGTTTTTCTT